TAGGACTTATTAGAATGTGTATCTGCATGGTAGGAATCTTGACATCAAAAGGTTAAAGAAAAAAAAGAAGAAGAAAAAGAAACATGATGGATATCATCCAAGTCTGGCCCACACATCCTAGCATTAGTGAGGACCACATCCCAGAGGACTAACATGAGCCTCAACTCTGGTCTCTGAAAGAAGAAAGGTATAATCTGTCATCAGGCATGTATTATCTTCCTTGATCTTTACTTGTTCAGTCTCTTGGACTGTCCTGATTCTGGTCCACTCTTCTGGATCATGACATGAAGACAGTCAGAGGCTATTAAATTAACCTGCCTCTCCTGTGAGACTTAGCTCTATTTGATATTACTGAAAAGTAAAATCGTAGTGACTTCATGAAATGATGTTTTCAGATACTGGAGAGAAGAAAATAATATGTTTCTATGGTAAAATAATTATTTGTTTCTCAATTTCATTATTTCTTTATACCTTAGTATCCTAAATAATTTTAACTAATTGTGGACTGTCTATAAGATAGTAAAACAGTTAATATGTTCAATTTTGTATTTAACTTTGAATCAATTTAAACAATAAATGTGTAGTTATTACTGGATGAGACTTATGTTTTCTGATATTTTATAATAGGAAAATATAGTATTTGCATGCTCTATTTTTGCTGTCAAAACATTAATTCACAATAAAATATCATAATCAACATTGTGCTAGACTATAATGTAGGTATAGAGTTAGCAAGAATGGGTCAAAGATAAATGAATTTTGATGATGTAACTTACTATATTCATGACAGAAAGATAACTGTTACTTTTAAATTTTATTTATTATTTTTGCTTTCTAGGTATATGAGTATATTGCCTTCATATAAGTGCACCCATGTAGTCCAATGCCCATGGAGATTAGAAGAGGACATCAGGTCCTCTGGAACTTCAGTTATGGACAGTTGTAGGCCACCATGTGGATGCTCGAACTTGAACCCAGGTCCTCTGCAAGAACAGCCAGTGGTCTTAACTGCTGAGCCCTCTCTCCAGCCCCGATAACTGATTTTAAACAAAATGTATAATAAAGAAAATGGCAATTTGAGTGTGAGTGATTATAATTTAGATTTGACCTGTAAAATCATTAATTTATCACTTGAATATCCAAATGGAGATGTGCAATAGCATCTCTAGTTTAAAGATCATGAAAGCATCATGTTTAAAGATCATCATTAAGAGCCTAATAAATTTAATTCAATATTTAATTATTCAGAAGATACTCTTGAACTTTACAAGACTTCAGGATAATCAATCCAAAAACAAATTGCTTTCAATAGATACCTTTTCAGGGTTTGTGATATGAGTGAGTTCCTGTGTGAACCATTGTGGGGAATAGTATTTAGACTTGCACATCATTCCTTTCCTTATTGCATAGAGTGTGCAATCCAATTAAGAAGAACAATGGCAAAATAACAAGGGTTTGGGGGTTTGTGTTCTCTTTTTTAATATGAGTAAGCACCAGATGAATCCTCAGGAATTAAATGCTGAACTTAGGGAAAGAAAGGCGGAAGGCAGTGGAAAAGAAAAAGAAAAAAGAAAAGCTTTGAGGGGCTAGAGAGCTGGCTCAGTGGCTAAGAACACCAGTGGCTCTTACAAAGGACCCAATTTTGGTACCCAGCACCCACATGGCAGCTAACAACCATCTGTAACTTCAGTTCCAGTGGATTTATGCCCTCTTCTGGCCTTTGCAGACATTCCGTGCGCATAGTGCACTTGCATACATGCAAGAAAAACACTCATACACATACAAATAAATATACTTTTTTAAAATAAACTTTTGGGTAAGAAGGAAAATTGAGTTGGTCCCTGATGGAAGGAAGGGGTTGGATAGTAAGAGATTTTTTAAAAAGACAGTGAATAGAAACATTCAAAAGGAAGGTAGAAAAACTATGGTCTGCATAATGGAAAATGTCCACGTTTCTGGGAAAATTGGAATCTCTTAACCATGATTGTAAAATTCACAGTGTATTGACACACCTCCGCTGCTCCTTTACAGCCTTGGAAGTCACCACAGGCTGAGTTAAAGTCACTGCTTTGCATTCATAAACTCTCAGGAGTTTTCTACACACACACACACACACACACACACACACACGCACACACACATTTCAGAATGTTGATGGGCCATTAAATAAGTGGGGTTTAATATTCTTAGCTCATGAGTGTCTAGGTTGTGAGACAGTATTCACAGTAGAGGAAAGTGTAGTTTTGCAATTAGAACCAGCTGCAAACTCAGCTTTGTCAAGGGTTACATTGAAAGTGAGTTCCAATTCTTTCATCTCTATCTGTAATAAGCTGCCTTGAAGGATTAATGGAACACACTCTTGTAATTTAACCATTAGTCTAAATATTTGTTCTGACCACCTTGCCTGTGAAACGGTCAGCAAAACATAGCCTTGCATCCCCCCTCCCCCAAACAATGCTAATTGCAGTAGTAAATAGCCTTCTTTGAAAATAGTTGGAATAAAGTACTTAACGATATTTTTTCCACAAATGAACAAAATCGTATATTAAAATATAAAACTTACACTTGATAAAATAAAATGAGAAATTTGAAAAGCAAATCATCTTGATGGGACCTGCCTGGAAATGTGACTATTGCAAATAATCTGACTAACCCTGCAGGAAGGGCAAGGTGGCAAAGGGACTTTCTTATCCAGGTACAAAAATGATCAGACTAGATAGCTTCTTGCTAATGCTAATTTATTTGCATATAAGTAATCGTATCAGGTGTAATAATGGCAAACACCAATCCTTAAATGAATTTAAGGAAAGATGTTTTATTTTGTACCATGGAATAGCAACTTTCTAGAAACTTAGAAAGTAATGAGTGGGGAAAAAATACCTTACACTGTCAATAAGTCTGCAGCAGAGCTAAGACTATCACAGAAATGTGAACTTCATGAGATATGTAAACAAATGCTTTGAATGTTTGTATAATTACCACTTTAAAAAATATTTTATTTATTATTTTTATGTGTATGTGTGTATTGCCTGCATGTAGGTAAGTGCACCCGTGTTGTGCAATGCTCGGACAGAAGAGGCTGTTGGATCCCCTGGAACTGGAGTTACGGACAGTTGTTAGCTGCCATGTGGGTGCTGGGATTTGAACCTGGGTCTTCTGCAAGAACAGCTAGTGTTCTTAACCGCTAAGTCATCTCTCCGGCCCCAATAATCACCATTTTTTATAGACTTACTTGGTTTACCTACACTAGTTTCAAAAAACATGCTATCAATTCAGAAAACATAAAATGGCAGCCAAAACCTTAGCGATTTGAAGAATTCTTTCTAAATACTGCAGGCAAAAAAGCAATAAGATTTAAATACAAACTTACCTGTGGGTATGTAATTGTTTTAGTGTGTTCTTCACAGAAAAACTAGTATATCAAAGTTAAAGTGAGCAGAGGGGCAATGTTTCCTCACTTTCTGTTTCATTTCCTCAATAATCAAATCATCAGCTAGGTTGTTGGTGCATGTGTTCACTGATTAGAACCAGTAGATCTTAGTTAAAACTGATTTTATATGCTAGCACACATTTTTACATATACAGAGGGAGGGAGAGAGAGAGAGAGAGAGAGAGAGAGAGAGAGAGAGAG